CTGGTGGTCACTTCTGCACATCACTTGTCCAGAATGCTACCATAGGCAGAAGGACCTCCCTAAAGAGGGGGGCCTCGAGAGGTGTCAAGAAAACCTCTCAAGACTTTTATGCTAGTCTCAGTGTTCTGAGTTCCATAGGCACATGATCTGGGTTGAGGTAGACTTTATTGTTAGAAACCAAAAAGATAGGTAGGGTCATGCTCAGAAATGTGATGTTTTCTGAACTCTGAATCTGTCTAGTCTCTGCCTGTAGCCACTCTGGTAATCCCACAGGTCACTGTGAGCAAGCAGTTTGCTAACTCACCATTTAGGAAATGGCAAACATCCATTGTCTATTTCTAGCACATAGAAAACATAGGCTTATACTGAGACCATCTCTTAGGAAACAGAAGGAATCACCCTGCTTGCCCATTTAGTGGTAAATGGAAAAGCAGGCACAGTGAAGCAGGAGCTGGGCAGAATAAGCCCACACGATCATATTTGGAACTTTTTACACATAGAGAAGTTACATTGAGGATACCGTTAAATTATACAGGGTCCCTCAGACATTATGGGTATTTTGATCCTGGAAATGATGTGTCATTTAGGCAACACAATGTGCAATTCTAAAAATATTTAAGGATTTATTTCCAAGTAGGACTGAAATAGATAAGAAGTTATAGACATAGTGATGTCCCTAGATAGTCTTTGTTGCTAAACAGATCTCATACTGAATTTTCCATTTTTCAAGTTAGTTTCTAAGATACTGAATTAAAATCATGTTAAACATTTCAGTAGCAATACATCTACTTTTAGTATCAACTTTTACCTTTAGTCATCAAACCAATTAAACATGGAATATTATGTAAAAGCCAAAAAACTGATAATGTAAATAGCTAGGATGTGGTTAGAAAAACTTACAGTACTGGGTGTTGATGTATGTGTATTCTGTTCACTTCTAAATCGAAGCTTATTAGACAAATATGGTCACTACAAACACCTATAATAAAAAAAAGTCAGATATAAAATAGACAATGACCAGGAAATGAGGGCACAGGGAAACACCACAATCACAACGTGGAGTTCTGGTGTGAGGTTATCAATCTTCTAATAATATGTGTGACACAGCCAGAAGAGTGCCAACCTTAGCACACGATCAGACAACTGAGCTGCTACATGAAAGGGTTCCTGTGGTCAGGCCAGGGAGCAAGTCAGAGCCTGGTGAACTCGGGCTTCCTCAGCATACTCCAAAACCCCACACTCCTTCAGTTCTGAGCCCTCCACCCTTCATGTTGTAGTCTGTTATATATATTTACTGTAGTTATTTGAAATCACATATAAAACCTAGGCAAATTTTTTTTTTTTTGAGTTGGAGTCTCACTCTCGCCCAGACTGGAGTGCAGTGGCATGCTCCCGGCCACCGCAGCCTCAACCTGGCTCCGGCGATCAGCCTCAGCCTTCTGAGTAGCTGGAACTACAGGCGCGCGCTACCATGCTCAGCTAATTTTTTTGATTTATTGTAGAGATGAGGTCTCGCCTAGTTGCCCAGGTGGGTCTCGAACCCACAGGCTCAGGCAATCACTCACCTCGGTCTCCCAAAGCATGGGATTACAGGCTGAGCCACCAAGCCCGGCGCAAAATGTTTTTTAAAATAACCAAAAATCACTTTCCCTGAAATATGCATAATTTCTTTAAAATGACCTCTTATGAATTTGTAATTGTTTCAAAAGTCATTTCCCACAAGATAACAACAAAGAGTAGATAAACCTCCCATCCTTTTTAAGACCAAAACCTACTTTCCTTGTAGCAAGACCTCCAACCTGGGCCTGCAAGGCAATATTTTCAAGCATTTGTAGCTTGTGAGAGACCAAGTCTGACATCATAGTGGTATGTATGTGTGTTGAGAGTATGTATCCTTATTTTCAGCACACTGTCTTTTCTCTGTATCTTCATCACCTCATGGACAGTGTGGCTTCCCATGGCTTCAGTCTTCCCATTCTAAACAAGCTGCTTGGAAGGAGGCTGGGGAAGCAAAATGAGTTATTTATCTGTGAGCTCTTGTAGAACTTTTTATGGGTTTTCTGTCTTCTTTCAAGATACACATACATCTACATAGAAGGATTATCTTAAGAAAAACTACTGGACCATTAAAGCCTTATTATTCGTTGCTAATATTCTATTTTTTCTAGTGTACTTTTAGGTAGGTGGTACATTATTTAACATCAAACTTTCCTTATCATAGGTTAGAAACTGTAGGAACCACACAATTTCTGAAAAAAATAAATTGATTCATTGCAACTAATTCTGAATTTGTATTTGAAAGTATGGCCTCACAATCTTAGTTTGTAAATAGTCAAATATGTCTATACGGTTGCCAAAGTTTGGTTTATAATTTATACATGAATAAGATCTTAAATGGAAAACTTTCCTTCCAAAAAGGACTTTATGTATTTTCGTTTAAAAAATGTTTGGAAGCTGGGCTCGGTGGCTCAGCCTGTAATCCCGCGCCTTTGGGAGGCTGAGGTGAGTGGATTGCCTGAGCCCCCGGGTTCGAGACCCACCTGGGCAGTGAGACCTCATCTCTACAATAAATCAAAAAATCAGCCGGGCGTGGTAGC